CAGACTTCCCCCTTTGAGGATGGGGTTCCTCTTTGGAAATGGCAGCCAACTATTTAGCTCCAGATCTTGTAAATAAAGTGGGTAATTAAGCATAGTGAAACATGGTGGGTCAAAAATAAAACTTGGAGAAAAGCAAATAATCCAATTAAAAAATAAGCAAAGAATCTGAATAGATGTTTTTCCAAAGAACATATACAAATGGTCAACGAGCACATGAAAATGAGCTCAACATCGTTAGCCATCAGGGAAATGCAAATCAAAACCACAATGAAATACCACTTCACACACATCAGAATGGTTATAATAAAAAAGACAATAACAAATGTTGGCAAGGATGTAGAGAAATTGGAACCCTCATACATTGCTTGTGGAAACGTAAAATGATACAGCTGCTTTGGAAAACAGTCTGGCAGCTCCTTAAATGGTTACATATGGAGTTATCATATGACTCAACAATTCTACTCCGAGGAATATACCCAAGAGAAATGAAAACAGGTCCACACAAAACTTGAGCACAAATGTTGAAAATAGAATTTTTGATAATAGCCAAGATTCAGAAACAAAACAAATGTCCACCAATTAATGTATGGATAAATAAAACGTTACACTCTTGCAATGGAATATTATTTGGGAATAAAAAGAGATAAAATATTGGCACTTGCTTACAACATGGGAGAACTTGAACAACATTATCCTAAGTGAAAGTAGCCGATCACCAATGACCACATATTGAATAATTCCAATTATAGAAAATGTACAGAATAGGCAAATATACAGGAAGTAGATAAGCGGTAGTCAAGTTTTGGTGGTTGGGGTTGGGGGGTGGCGGGGTGTCGGGAAGACATGGAGAATGACTTTTAATGGGTAATTTTTCTCTCTCTTTTTCTTAGAATGAGGTAACATTGATTTATAACATTATATATGTTTCAGGTATACAACATTATAATCCAATCCTATCTAATAAAAGAGAAACATGGTAATTAAGCATAACTTTGCTACCCTTCCCATTGGCTAATCAGCAAGATATGCAAATTAACTGCCAGCCAAGATGGCAGCCGGTAGCCAGGCAGCTGAAGCGAACAGGAGGCTTGCTTTCTCCAGTGACGGAGGAGAGGAAGCCAAGGTTCCCCGCCTGCCGCTGCCGGTCTCTGAGCTGCAGTCTAAGAAACAATGTTGCAAATATAGAAGCTAAACAATCCCCAGAAACCTGTTTTCAGCCAGCTGGCCTCGGACCTGGAGCTGAAACAGTGTTTCAATTATAGAACCCAAACAAACCCAGATCAGTAGCCGACGTCTCAGAGCTGGAGCCGAGCCTCAGAGCTAAAGCCGGCTCTCAGGTCCAGTGACAGCCATAGAAGGTAAATAAATCCCAGAATAAAAAAACAAAGAGAAAAAAAGGAGAGGTTGGGAGCTTCAGTCACCCGCCAGCCTGAAAACAGCCCTCAGCCCCTCACCCAGACTGGCCAGGAACCCCAGTGGGGACCCCCACCCTGAAGGAGGTGTGTCCAGCTGCAAACAGCCATCATCCCCTCATCCAGGCTGGCCAGGCACCCCAGTGGGGACTCCCACCCTGATCCAGGACACCCTTCAGGGCAAACCAGCTGGCCCCCACCTGTGCACCAGGCCTCTATCCTATATAGTAAAAGGGTAATATGCCTCCCAGCACTAGGATCAGCGGAGCCGTGAGGCCTCCCTGCCCCGGTGTCAAGCGGAGCTGTGAGGCCTCCCGTCACCGGGATCAGTGGAGCAGTGAGGCTTCACTGCCCTGGTGTCAAGCGGAGCCGCGAGGCCTCCTGGCCCCTGGAGCAGTGTGACAGGGGGCAGCGCCCAAACCCCCTGATCGCCCTGCAGCTCTGTGTGTGACAGGGGGCGGGGCTACAACCTCCCTATCTGCCCTGCTCTGTTCCTGACAGGGGAAGGTGCCCCAACTCCCTGATCAGCCCTGCTCTGTGTGTGACAGGGTGTGGCACCCCAGCCCTGCCATGGGCCCTGCTCTGTGTGTGACGGGGTGGAGCCGCAACCTCCCCATCGGCCCTGCCCTGAGTGTGACAGGGGGTGTGCCCCAACCCCCTGATCGGCCCTGCTCTGTGTGTGACAGGGGGCGGTGCCCCAACTCCCCTATCGGCCCTACTCTGTGCGTGACAGGGGGGAGCTCCCCAACTCCCTGATCGGCCCTGCTCTGTGCGTGACAGGGTATGGAACCCCAACCCCCCTGATGGGCCCTGCTCTGTGCGTGATAGGGGGCAGCGCCCCAACCCCCTGATCGGCCCTGCTCTGTGCGTGACAGGGGGTGGTGCTGCAACCTCCGCATCAACCCTGCCTTGAGTGTGACAGGGGGCGGTGCCCAAACCCCCCAATCGGCCCTACCCTGAGCGTGACTGAGGGTGGCATCACAACCTCCCAATCCGCCCTGCTCTGTGCATGACAGGGGGCGGCGCCCCAACTCCCCAATCAGCCCTACTCTGAGCCCGACCAGGAGCCGTGGGGCAGGCACCTAGGGATTGGCCCTGCCCTCTGCCACCCGGGAGTGGGCCTAAGCCAGCAGGTCGTTATCTCCCAAGGGGTCCCAGACTGTGAGAGGGCACAGGCCAGGCTGAGGGACACTCCCCGCCCCCACCGCCAGTGTGCACTGGGCCTCTAGTATCTGTATAATATTCTATAGCGTGTTCACCACCAAAAGTCCCAATTTCCATACTTCTATAGCAAACCTAGACCCAAAATATTTTAAGGAACCCCAGCTATCTTTAGAACTTCTGTTATCAGTCAACAAAACAAAATAAAACAAAAACAAATTTTTTGCTTTATGTTTTTTTAAAAAACTTTTTTTCAATAAGGCTATGGATTTTCTAAAGGCTGCCTAACATAAAATGAGTCTGAACATTAACATGTAAAGGACAAGCAATAAAAACAGTATTATGAGTGCAGACAAAATATCCAAGAGCTGTAGAATGTGACCTCTCCTAAGGGGAATAGAAGGCAAGGATTCAAAATGCACAGCTTTTGAAAGCTAAAGGAAATGACAACAACTGAATTGAAAAGGCTGAACTTAGCATTACCTTCCCAGAACACAAACATATATTTAGCTTAATAGACTTGAGTACTATCTCAGAAAAAATCTTATATATTATGCATCTAGGGCAATGAAAGCTGTAGAAAATGATTTTGCAAAGCAAACACACTGCAGGCTGACAGTAGCAGAGTTAAAAAAAAAAAAAAACACGTCCCAGGCACACATAATAAATTTAGGTCTCATTTCTTATATATCATCATAGGAGGAAAACAAAAGAGTGGAGGAAACCTCAGACACCAATTGAAGCTTTAAAAAATGCGTGTGTTTTTTCTTATTATAACTGTAAAATCGATTTATACTAGAACATTTGAAATATACAGAAAAATATAAAGAAAAACATTAAAATTACCCACAATCCCACCACCCAGAGAGAACCATTATCAAAATATTGGCACGTTCATTTGCATTCCTTTTTCTATGTACATATAAAAATATATTTTTTTAATAAAATTGGGCTCTCGTTTAAAGAAAATTTTATATATGGCCTCCCCCCTACCCCACTTCCTATTAGTTCTTTGACTACACTCTCATGTTGTTATATATTCTTTGATGGTGTAATGTGAATGATCCATGATACTGGATCTTATGAATTTAAACAGAATTATTTGATCCTTTCCATATTACTGGACCTCTAGGTGGTTTCTAATTTTTCAGTTTCACAAATGGCACTGCATTGGACTTTCTTGTGATGAATCTCTATTTACTTTTTAGCAGCAACTTAAATGTGTATCAGTGTGTCAAATTCAAATTTAAATCACTCCATGTACCCATCCATTTACCAGTGGAAGTCTCTGGAGACAAGTACAAATAATGCACATCAAATAAACAATACTATTTTCATACCACTCAAAATCTACATTTATCCTTCTGGGCAGTCATCTTTCAGGCAGTGCATTAGTTCCTCTAGGCAAATGGAGCATATCACTGGGCTAATCTAAATGTAATAACGTGAAACTTGGATGACCCAGATTTCTCCAATATCAGTATGCATGCAATGACAATATTCTAAAGATTGAAAAATACCCAAGACTCTCAAAAATACATGCCTTATTATCCTTTCATTTAAAACAATATACAAGGGGCATTAAAATGAAATAAATAAAAGGTTATAGCCAATGGAGGTTGATAGCAACCAACTCTTATCTAGACATACAAGTTCCATACAGTGTCACTTAAGGTTTTCTTCACATTCCAGCTTTACGCTGTCACTTCCAGTTATAGAACTCTTAAGTGCTCTCAACATATTGAAGTTATTAATGGTTCTTGTTTAGAATTATATGGACTTAACATTCCAGTTTTAAATTCCTTGTAGTCTATTTTTTTAAATGGTTCTATTTTCAAGATTCTAAATAGGGTTCTCACAAACACTACAGTGTGTGTGTGTGTGTGTGTGTGTGTGTGTGTGTGTATACATATAGACACATACCTGTAAAATGTTTTTCTCCCTTTAGTCAGTGAAGGGCAAAATAAAACATAACACAACAAAAATCCCACTTACATCACTGGTCATATGAACTATGAAATCACTCAAATTCCAAGGCTCTCCCAGACTAAGATAGCCTGGGCTGCCCTATAAGTTGTGCGGACTGTGTATGCTATACAACTCTAGGGAGTGCAATCGTACCCTGATCTCTGTGATGGGTACTCTCTGGGGTGGAGCGGTGCACAACCTACATAGTAGTATGTGATGACCTTGAAATTAGCTAAGGCAATACTGTTCACCCATCCATTACTTATTTGTGCATCCTTCCCCCATAGTGAGCTACGAAAAAGAGAAGTTTGAGGTGGGAAGTGGCCTTTAAATCTATTTTTTAAATAAAGAAAATGTTGCAAAAACAAAACAGAAACAAAAACAATGACAGTTTCTCCCTGGCTCTTCTGTATCCCTCCCGTCTCCCCTTCCATCCACCCACTAGGAAGAGCGGGGTACCTTGTGTGAGTAACTGTAGGTTTCTGACTTCTTCCCGCACCTTCAGCTGGAGCACCTGTTGCAAGATGTGCTGCCGGAGGTTCTCCTGGGCAATCCCCATTCGCTCAAGCTTTTTGTCAGTAAGTCTCAGCAAAGCTCGCCCTGCAGGGGTTCAGGAAATACAAGGAGAAGCACATAATCAAGGGCTGGAGAAGGATTTCCACCTTAGTCTTGGCTAATTCTTTATACCAGAAGTTTCCATCTAAACACAGACTCTTCAGAATACAGGATCCCCCATGATTCTGGTGACAGGAATGGATAATCCGGATGAAAAAAACCCCACACATTAAAAAAAAAGAAGCCACATTTTTTTTTAAAATACATTTTATTGATTTTTTTACAGAGAGGAAGGGAAAGGGATAGAGAGTTAGAAACATTGATGAGAGAGAAACATCGATCAGCTGCCTCCTGCACACCCCCTACTGGGGATGTGCCTGCAACCAAGGTACATGCCCTCGACCGGAATCGAACCTGGGACTCTTCAGTCCACAGGCCGATGCTCTAGCCGCTGAGCCAAACTGGTCAGGGTGAAGCCACATTTTTAAAAAACATATTTTTATTAATTTCAGAGAGGAAGAGAGAGGGAGAGAGAGATAGAAACATCAATGATGAGAGAGAATCATCAATAGGCCGCCTCTTACACGCCTGACACGGGGGATCAATCGAGCCTGCAATCTGACCTAGAATTGAAAACCATGACCTCCTGGTTCATAGGTCGACGCTCAACTACTGAGCCATGCTGGCTGGGCCAGAAACCCAATTTTTATCTAATATTGGCAATCCCCAACTGCCCCACACATTGAGTGAAATGAAACAGCAACATTTTAACCTGGGTATTTGGATCACAGACTGCAGGTTTCCATAGAAACAGTGCTGTTCGCTGGATGATGGGTTCTGAGGCTGGCCCACAGGAGCCCATGTTACTGCCAACTCAGCTGAAGACCTGGATGCTGTAACTGTGGTTAGAGAGAAACTCCAAGACGTTTAATGCAGGTTACAATAACGTTTCGGTGAAATATGTATTTAGAGTTCCAGTTTTAATCTGCAGCATGAGCTCCTTGCTACACCCCTGGTGCTGGGCTAGGTTTCCACGTCCAGCTGGTGGGAGCGAAGGCTTCCTCCCAATCACTGGCCTGAGGGGTGAGAGTGAGATGGGGAGGGGGAGTGAGAGCTTCCACAGACTGCAAAATAAGGAGCCTTGGGGTGTGCATGCCTGCAGTGTGTAGACACTCTGGACCCTAGGTAGCCCTGCATGGCTTCCTTTCAGCCTCTTTCTTTCCCTGGAATGTCAGGTGCTTCTGCTGTTATTTGGTCTCCATCAAATTCTCAAATTCTCCCTTCTCTGTGCTTGCCTTGAAATAAGCACAGGTCTATTGTGAGAGCTGAGAGCAAGAAATACAGAGAATGAATACTGTTAAAGGCCCACAGCACCACCCTGTGTGCTTCCCCCCTATACCCCCAGTCATCACACTGCAGATCTCTCCTCGACTGAGGAAGAGGCAACTACGTGTAATCAATGGTAAGTCTTTGGGGATCACAGCATATACATTTCAGAAGATAAATGGTTTACCTCTTTATAAAGGAAATGAAATAGCCAGAAGATGGGGTTAATGGGTATACCGAGAATCTTATGGACAAAATCTGATTCACTATTTTCTTTGGATGGTTTCTATAGTGCCACCCATGTCCGAGATTCCGAAAAACCCTTACAATAATTAGATCACTTCCAGGAGCCAATGTCCCATCGATCTCCTATCCCACCCCCCCATGTTGACCACACACTAAGGTATCCCAATTAAGTGCGGTGCTGCTTTAGATCAGGAGTGATAGGTAGTCAATTGCATCCTTTTTTTTTTTGCAATTTATATTGTCATATTTTGTTGCTTATCATAAAAATCCAACTGCTCATTCAACAAACATTTATTGAGCATTTACTATGTCCCAGGTTAACTCGGTGTGCTCTGCTGTCCACTGCCTACACAGGAAGAAATGCGGGAGGGAAAAGTCAACTCAATCTCAAGAGAGCAGCACCAACTAAATTTCCTGAGACCCTAAATCACAATGCAGGTGATCTAGGCTGCTGGGCCATTCATAGACACCTAGATTCCTGGAGTTGAAAGAAGCTTCAAGTCCTTTCCGTGGATTGTATTCCTGGCCTTTTACTTCTTTTCTTTTTCAAATCAAAACAGGAAGTGATGGTGCTTTGGACACAGGTGGAGGTGAAGAAGTAGAAAGAAGTAGTAGGATTCTGGGTATATTTTGAATGACACTGGGATGTTTAGAGGTGGGGTATGAAGGAAAAACAGACATCAGAAATGACTCAGGTTGTCCACCTGAGCCCCCAGTGGCAGGGGGCACCATTTCAGCACAGGACATTGAGTCACTGCCCCAAAGAAGGATGTGTGGGAGGGAGGAAATCCCATTAGTGTTTCTGCTTTTTTTTTTTTCTTTAGAGAGCACTTCAGATCTGGAGGGATGAAAAGGATAGAATTAAACAAGGGAAGACAATCAGAATATTCTCTCTTTCCCAGAGTGGTTTTTTCCTCTTCTAAAATGTTTTTATCTATTCTAGAAAGAGATAGGAAGGGAGAGGGAAAGAGAGAAACATTGATGAGAGAGAAACATCAATTAGCTGCCTCCTGCAGATCCTTTACCAGGCATCGAGCCTGCAACCTGGGCATGTGCTCTGACTGGGAATTGAACTGGTGACCTCTGGTGCGTAGGATGATGTCCAATCAACTGAGCCACACAGGTGAGGGCATCCCCATAGTATTTTCATTCCTTCAGCATTCTACTCAAAGCCCAGAGTTCTGAGTTGAAGGGGTAGCATAGGCATAACCTGGTGGAATGTAGAGAAATAAGAAGAGTCTGTTATGAGCCAAGCTCTCTTGGCCCCAAGAGAGTTCTTGTGTGCTAAAAATATTTCCCAGGACTCTTTATAGAAGTTCAAGCCAGGGAATATTCTGTGAAGAAGTTCACCCAGCAGAGACATGGATCTGGTGCCCTGCTAACAATCTTGGAAAATTAGAATTTTGCTGCAACTGAAGCTTGATTACATACATCTAAGCTTCACCGTGTGTGACTCACCCCACTGCCAGCTCCACTAGAATAAGTACTTTTCCTGTCAGGTGTCCTATTGTCCCAGGTGCCCTATTGTTGCCTACGGCTGGCACAGAGTAATGCTCAAGAAATATTATTAAATGAATATACTTGCTGCTAAAATGAATGTTGTCTTGGTTACTCACAAACTGATGACCTCAAGGTCATTAAATTACTGTCTTTTCTGATGCAAGGTACTCCGTTGGAAACTGACTCTTAGATAGGAAAACAACAATGAGAAACTGGACGTCGTAGAGGGAGGAAGCTGCGTTGTGTTGGTGGCAACCACAGAAAACACGTGCCAAGTAAAGAAATAGAGAACTTGAGACTAAAGGAGCGCTCCGCCTTTCTGCAGGCTTAACGAAAGACACGTGTCTTATTCTGTTTTGGAACAGGCATCAAGTGCGACTACAAGCCTTGCTGGATAGACGGGCAGGGAGAACAGGTGAGAGACAATTGACTCAGAGGGCAGTGCCTTCATTTCCTCTGGTTGCCATAACAAATTACAAACATGGCGGCTTAAAACAACAGATGTTTATTCCATAGAGTTCTGGAAGCCAGAGCTCAACATCAGTTTCACTGGGCTGAAATCAAGGTGTTGGCGGAGCCACACTCCCCCTGGAGGCTGTAGGGAACATTTCCTTTTGCTGGCTACCACATTCCTTTGTGACTACATCCTCTAATCCCTGTCTCTGTCTTCACCCTCTCTTGTGGTGTTTAATGTCACCCTGCCTCTCTCCTAAAAAGACACTTGGGATTTGATGTAGGACCTGCTTAAATAAAACAGGATAATCTCCTCACATGAAGATCCTTGACTTAATCACAAATACAAAGACCCCTTTTCTTTATAAGGTAACATTTACAGGTTTCAGAGATGAGGACCAGGTGTCTCTGGGTGGCCATTATTCAGTCTACTACACGCTGGAGGGAACCTCTGAGATTTCTGAGTGTGGCCCAGGATTCAGGGTGTCCACACAGAGAACGGAGGTTCAGGGAAAGGGACTCATCTAAAACCGCCCAGGAAATAAGGGGAAGATTTAGGTCTAGACCTTAAGTTCCAATCTGGTCTTTGGTCTCTAGTTCATGTGCCCCCCACCTTCTGCTCAGAGAACTGTCACAGAAGCCCTGTCATAGCTTTTCAAGATGAAAGATCGCATGCTGTAAAGCACAGTCGGAAATTTCAGGGTTAGCTGGAAGATGTGCCTTTAGTTCATACCCTACTGGGAAGTCTTGGTACCACTGCAAGTGGTTGGGAGTCCACATTTCCCAGAGAAGAGGCTGAATTACAGAGGTTACTATATAGTTACCAAACTAATGGCCACTTACTTACTGGGTTAGCTCCAAACCTGCTCTCAGGTAAAGGCCTGCATCACCCAAGGTGTAGAGTTCCCTGGCTCTACTCCAGTTCTGGCTGGGCCAGAGAAAGAGAGTGACAAGTGTTGGGCATATAACCTGTGTTCTACAGCCTGAACCTGTGTTTCTTCATCTCACCACTATTCCAAAATTGGAATTTGTGAAACAAAGGAATAGGGAGAGAGATATAATTGCAAAAGCATGGGGTCAGGAGTTGAAAGGTAGAGATATATGCCCAGAAAAGCACACTGGAGTCTTAATTTCCTCATCTCTACCATGGGGATGAAAAGGACACTATTTTATAGGGCGACTGTGAGGATCAAATGACATAACACACATGCCCTTTGCAAAATGGAGTCACTATGAAGCTGCCATTTGGGTAGTACCACTCTGGATGGCTGAGAATGCTTCCTCCTTCTTCTCCTCATCACAACAATGACTATAATAGCAAATATTTATTAAGCAGTTACTGTGTGTTAAACACTGTCCAAAGAGCTTTCCAGGGACTACCTCATTTTCAACAATTCTCTGAAGATACTAACTACAATCCATTACGAGCTACTGTACACAGTGGAAGGTCATACATGCACTAAACTGCAGATCTCGGATACAGATATGCATAGAGACACGCTCTGAACCACCTCCTAAAC